AAACTCCAGAAGACGAGTTTGGAACATGAAGAAAGTAAAAGAGCAGTTAGGTGATGATGTCTGTCACGATGGGATGCGACGCCACCTCCCGCATACATTGCATAGGCAAGGCGGCAGCCTTAAAGAAATATGCCAACTCGTTGCACTTCAGAGAGCAAGCAAAGGTTTTCAACTCCCCTTCCACAGTCGATGATATCGTGGTAGCAGGAGAAAATGCGCTGGTATCCCTCTACGGAGGAAAACCTGGGGAGAAACTAGACGGCATGCGCTACCAACGCTACTGTGAGAAACTGGCGACCACTAGTTCTCAAATACAGCCTCAGAATCTTCTTCCGACGTCACCAGCAGCCATGCCAGGCATCATAGCCTAAGAGTGTACCTGCAAGTGAAGTAATGGAAAGGCGAAAACGAAGGCATGTCATTGGAGGACTACGGATGGAAGGTGACGGAAGGCCAGGTACTCCCTCGGATGACTGACCCACCAGCCGCACTGGAGTCGCTTCTGCAGATGATAAAGTGTAACTGCTCGTCAGATTGCGCCAGCGCAAGATGCACCTGCCGTAAACATGGTCTAGAGTGTTCACCTGCATGTGGCCAATGCAGAGGTACGGCGTGTACAAATTGTCCAATCCAGTTTGACGAAGATGACAGCCAAGATGAGTAAACGTGTAACGTGGAAAAGAAAGCACGAAAGTCATAAAATAATCTGAGTACCTTGTGAAACTTTATAAGACAGTACTGCGGGAGTATATTGTATTTTTGAAAACATATCTCCCTTATCTGTATGTTTGAAAACGAGTCGGTTTTAGTAACTGCGTATTGTTAAGCGATAACGAAGTGTCATAGCCTTTCTTTAGTACCAACCTCTCTGAGGGACAAAAATGAAATTCTGTATGTCTTTGAGTAAGAAATGTTAATGAAATTATTTGACTTATACATGATTTAGTGAAGATATCTACAAGATGAAAGTTCACAGAACTACCTGGAGTACTATTAATCAAATTTGGAAGAATCGGGTGCAGTTCTGGCGATAAACAAGTAGAATAAAAGCAACTTCCGGTTCTTAGCCTCGTTTCCATGTCGCAGCAAAGCGTTAGTTATTAGCCATTTAAATTTTGACATGTTCCCGTGCTTGGATCCTTTGGGACTTTTAGTATGTTAATCTAGAGACCATTCCTAAATGATTGGCGAAGAGAAAGGTTCTGTTGCAATTAGTGGCAGGTCCAGCCACAAAATGACTGGACTAATGGTGCAATAAACTTCGTTAAGTTTCGTCACATATTGGAACAACATCCGCAATGCGTCTTTAAAAAATCTGGCCCTAATTGATTCCTCCAAGGATCACGAAGAGAATATGTCAAATAGATTAATATGTCACTTGTGCATTTCGTTTATCATATATGCCATATAATACATATAATAAGTTTCTAACTACATATTAAGTAATTTCATGTTTTTACATTTTCCATTCCTCATTTGGTTTCTTGTCAGTATATCGTGTCTGGTCTACAGTAGTTAATTAAAACACGAACGTGTAGGAGGCTCTTGATAGGGTTTCACTGACAGCTATAGCTAAGAATTGACTAAAATTTTAAGCTTTCAAGCAAGAAATTCAAAGTATTAAACTGATGGAGATCTGGGATCCAAAAAAATAACTGCTATTGAAAGTTGAAAAATGGGCTGAAATTTTAACTGCATGATGCTTGAGAAATCGCCGCAAATTTAATTGACAACTGAGCTGAGATTTGAGGAATTCCATGAAGACCTTCATGAAATTCGTATTTCACATATTATAAAATTTCAGACAAATTTCTGAATTTTTTCAGCTATCATCGCCAAGTGTTTTGAGAGCTACTGGTAACCTCGTCCTAAGCATGGTTTCGTCTTTTAATAAGAAATCATTTGCTATGGTTACATGTATATATACCTTCATCGTTTTCAAATGAATTTGGACTTGAAAACTGGAACATGAGATTATAAACCAGTTTTGACGGCACGTTATTCTTCTCTCACCAAAGAAACAAGAGTCGCCTTTCTTTCTCCTTGATCGGGGTCTACAAGTCATCGGCCATTTTGGAGGTGAGATTAGGACTTGATCGGTTTTGTGTCGAACTGCACTGTGGAACTGTTTTGGGGACGACTTTTGACCTAGTTTTCTGGGCAACGTAATAGCCAATGAAAGAAGAGATAGCGTACCCAAAACAATCCATGGTGCATTCTGACACGACACCCGAAAATGGCCAATAGACTTTATTACACGACCCACTGTATGTAGAAATTTCTAGAGAAAATAGTGTCTACAAATCCACTAGACGTACCACTTCCGAGACTTTCAAACTGGATCACCGTTTTGGCCGTGCTGACGTTGGAGTTTAACTCTGTCGCGATTCAGTGGCGTCAACTGTGGTTTTTTCGAGTCTTCACCGATTTCTATGGTGGTATGCCTCTGGGATTCATCCTTCGGGATTTGCCGTGGACCATCTATCTCCTCTAAGACCTGCAATACTGAAAACTTCGGAGGACTGTCTACCATAACGACGGGTGTCGTATATGTTGGGCTTTCAGGTGGTATGGTGAACAACTTTTGATATTTAGAAAGTACGTTTTCTGCAACTTCTTGGATGTTCTCATCGAACCCCTTTTTATTTGCATTCTGGAAAAAGATCTGTACATTTCTTGTAGCGTTCTGCTTGGCGAGTTCCTTTGCTTTGGTGTGAAACTGCTCCAAGGCTTCCTTAGCTTCAACATAGAGGTAATACTGACGACTGGGCATTCAGAGGTGCTTTTCTTTTTCGTTACATCGACGAATGCAAACAGAGGCAAACAGAGTAAACATAGCGATGATCATCAGTGACCAGCCAGCAATCTGACTGTTGGTTTTATAGCTGTCTTCAAGCTCAATAGATCGGGCACCTAACTTTGAATAACATCCGTTGGTAGCGTTGTTCCGTGCTATATCTCTGTCAAGCGGTGGACCAAAATATGCACAGGTGTAGTATTTTTGTTGAAGAAAGGATATAACTAACCAGGCGGTCGGGGCGACACTTGCTTTTACAAATATCTCTAGAGTAAACAAGAATGTTCTGAATTGGCGAGTGATCGGCTTTTTAGCATTCTCCGTTTTGTAAATTCTCCTTGGGAACTTCCGCCATAAATTTTTTTCCAACAGAATTCCCGGAAGAAGGAGTAGAAAAGATGGAGCCCAAAGAAATGCCATGCCATAAACAAAGTGTCTTTCGCAAGGACAGTCGAAAACCACGCTCTCAAATAGCTCTTGCAAGCCTATTGTTAAAGCCGCGATCGTTCCATACAACAAGGATCGTTTAGAGTTTCTTAATAAAACATAAAAGCTCGATATTAGCGCATTCATTGCGAGCGGTTGGCACAGCTCGATCAAGGTAACACAAATCTTCACAAAACCAGTGATCTTATTCACAAACAGCTACGAGGAGTGGTTTTTAAATATTATATAGTAAACAGTTTCGTGGCGGAAGTGATATTCTTAGTTTCGAAACTTAATACCTGTAAGAGTGGTTCTTAGTAAAGCGAAAGTTTATGTTCCATACCATTGAAATGATTGCACCATAATTGACAGTTGTATACATAAAAAGAAAACTAATAAAGACGAACAGTTGTATACAAAGTCAAACACTCTCAAAGCGAAAATTAAAAGACTTACTATAATTATAAACCTTTATTTAAGTAAACTATTCTATTAACATGTTCAAAAATAATTGAATGATTCCCGTCCAAACCCGAGAGCGAATGCATTACAACTGATTAAGAATCTTTTTGTTTCAGCATAACGATTCGTAACTCCACCGTATAATAATTATGTATTCTGTGCCCGTCGGGAAGACCTTTTTAGGAGAAAATTAATAGGTTTCAACCCTACTGGATTCAACCGGATGTCTAATCATTGTGGAAGTAAAAGAGAAATGGTTCCTTGATAAGGACAAATTGATAGTCACACTTTTTAAGATTTATTTCACAGACTCCAACGTTTCGAAACTTAGAATATCTCATAGTAAATTCAAAAGAAGTATTAATGGTCACTTAATACTTAATGGTCAATGTGAAATAGATTTTCTTCTTTAAGAGTAGTGTAGAAAAATATCAAATTCAACAATGACAAATTTCACACTGACTTGCTGAGACCGTAGCTTTAAAGACAGGACTTAAAGGAGCGAGCTGTGTCAGTCACAAAATTTATCAGAATTCAAACAGCATGAACAGAGGATTTAACTCACTAAGTGTCACTAAGTTTGAGTGAAACATAAAAATAACCGCTCAGAACATTAAAAGAACATAAAAACACAACAAATACAAAAGAAAGCACGTCACGGATGGACAAACTTGAAAAAGATTGAAACAAATATTTTGAAAACTTGTTCGCCTAACATTCGTTAAAAGTTCACTTTCAGACGTTGTTTGTATTGTTCGATGTAACTCTTAGAAGGCAAATTATTTGTTGGAGAAGAAGAATGCAATTTTGTCATTGGCAAGTAATTTCTTTAAGAAAACAGCTTTAGTGAGCCGTATTTTGTCTTAAAATACCTTTAAGACCTTTCTGCCTTTCCTTTCAACTAATTAACAAGCCAAACGAAAACATCGCCATCATCATCAAACTATAAAAAAATTACAAAAAGAAACCAAAGAACATTTAGTTAAAATAAACGAAACTGCAAAGTATTTACAATGTGAAACGTATAATGAATTTACATATTAACATGAGCCCACTGATGTACTTAAAACTAACTAGACATATGCCGGTTTTATAGTCACACAGACGCTTTCTTAAAAAAGTGAGATTGACGTCCTTCTTAATTTAAAGGCTTTGCCTTGGGCCAAGGTCATAGTTATATTAAATACATGAAAAAGAACCTCGATCAACGAAACTTCAGTAAAACGTACAGTATAGCGTAACACGCCAGTGGAAAATTGTAAACAAAGGTACAACGCAGGGCAGTGTTAGCGGACCATATCTTTTCAATTTGTTCCTGAATGACCCTTCCGCTTAGAAATTTAAATATGCAGATGATCCTACTCTCTTAGTAACTATCCCTAGACTGGGTTTACCTGCTCGATCTGCATGACAATTTGACTTGTCCAATGTTACGGACTGGACGGGTGCAAATGGCATGCAATGCGGGGTAACACTTTTAATTAGTAAATTCAAGGAATTACTTTTGCATAAGAATAGGAATGCAACAACTTATCCAGTGTCACAGCATAACTTACCTGTATAGATTTTAGATTTTATTATACGATTTTTTTTACTTAATTCACTTGCCAATAAACGTTTTGAAAATAGCTTTTTTCCCGAGATTAAAAAAAGTATAACCTAGCTGTGCAATTAGATTTTATAACTTTTTTATGTTTTTTCTTTACTTGGATACAACTGTACTTTGTGCTTGCTTCTTAAAATTTCAATGTATGTTTTATCCCATGAATAAATGATAATAATTATTAAACTATCATGAGATAAGAGTATTGCTTAAAGAGACTGCAAGAATTACGGTGGCGTTGTAGCTCTGCTCCTCTTTCGTTCTAAGAGTTTTTTTATTTCTTTCGCAAAGATACAGGACAACGATACCGAAGGTCAGACAAAGATTCTAACTAGCTATCTTACAGGATTTTTAAGTAGTCAAAACTCACCTTTCGTGTGCAGGGAGGAATTATTACTCATTTCTAAAATAACGCGCCTCATTCATTACCATAAGCATCCTTCTCCATCCAAAACACTACCCCCCCTCCCCCCTATTTCCGATTCAGTTCCGTATAAAAGTTACTAAAAATAGGTCTTCAACACTATTTCAGCTCATTCGTTACTGTAGTGGTTCTTACAACGGCCCTTTCAGAGTTCGAAAACGAAATTAAGAGCACCTGATGAGAGCAGTGGAAATTTCAGTTTTGCGGATTTGACCATTTGTGGGATCGGCTTTGTGCCTCTTGCGGTTTAGAGTTTCCCGGTTGGGTTTGCGGATGCTTTGCGGTTTTCGGTTTTCAGCCAATACTAAAACGGTTTTTCGTATTTGCTTATTCAGTTAAGTCCGTGCCGCGAGGTTTCCGGTTTTAAACAAAAAGACAATCCCCGAAAAGAAGATTTTTTTTATTCTGATCTGTTGGGCAATCTTTAGTCGTCCGGTTTTCAGTTTTAAGTAAAAAAGTAATTGCAGAAAGGAATAGCTGTTTTGGACCTTTGAAACAGTTTGCGGTTTTGCGGTTTCCAATATAGACATCGCCCCCAACCCTCGAATCGTCATAATTCCATGTTTAGCAATACCCAACTCATTTGAAACTGAAAATTAATTTTGAATATAAGCCTCTTTTTATTGTAACCTTTTAAATCTCACTAGCCTCACGATCAGATCAATTCTTAACTAATTCCCGAGTTTTCAAATACTTTATCGTACCTGTAGTCGGCCTACCTTGTGAATCGCAATGAATACAATAATGTCCAGCCTTACTGTGCTCTTCAAGAAATCTCGCCAATCCTTGATGTATTGCTCCATCGCCGCCTTGACGATGGGAGTCGAGGAGATTGTCGAGGAAGTTGTGTTTAACTGTCCATGTCAGAGACATTTTGCTTATGGACAAGCATTTTTATGGGGCCCGGCCTTCCTTCTGTTTTTCCCAGGAATTTTGCTGGATAAAACTTCATTGCCGCGTACTGGCCCGAGAAAAAGCAACGTAGGGAAGGCCAGGAGCAAAATTGTCCTTCGCTATTTCAAGTTATTGTTTGCTACATTTCATGCAATGACCCGAGCAAGCATCGCTCCAGTTGCCTGGTTGGTTCTATCTTTCTTGCAGCAGAAGTACTACACATGCGCATACTTTGGGCCTCCTCTTGCCGATAGAATTTCCACGAATACAAATGCAACTGACAGATGCCATTTTAAGCTAGGCATTCGATCAAAAGAGATGGAAGAAAGCTATAAAACACGCAGTCAGATTGCTGGATGGACGCTGTTGCTTGTATTTATGCTCGTTCTTTTTACCTCTGTCTGCATTCGTCGATGCGTAGAAAAAGGAAGGTATCTACGAATACCTAGTCCTGACTACTACAACCATGTTGAGGCCAAAGAAGCTTTAGAACAGTACCACGCTATAGCAAAAGAGCTAAAAAAAGAAAGAGCAAAACAGGGGATTCATAATTTATTTGACGAGGTTTTGAGTAAAGATGTTGATTCCCGTTTAAAGGATGTCGGAGCTCTAATACAAGAGAGGTATCATCAGTTTTTCGTCATACCCCCAGAGAGCCCTTCATACAGATCTCCCCAGGGTACATCAGATGATTCCCCTACGTTTTATTCACTGACACAGACCGGAATTTCCCCGGTACTTGTAACGGACGGATCTGAAGAAGAAAGCTTTGAATTTCACCACTCTTCCGGTTACGTAGATGTTCAGCTGACATCACAAATTAATGCAGCATCACAAAACCCTAGAAAACTTACAAGGATAATACTTCGTCAAGACTCCATCGACATGAGCTGAAACTCTTCAATTCACCGCGCGGGTTAAAATGTCTGACCAGCTGTCTGACCTAAAGCCAGACGAACCATTAAAAAAGTTATGGGGATGGCGAATTTTCGAGCTGCATAATTTCTTTTAAATGAACATTCTTTTAGGATTACTTGAAAGGAATGGTAAATAGATGTTAATCCAGATAAAGATCCTGATTACGATAATGAGTTTCTGTCATTGGATTCTTTCTTTGGCTTGCTTCTTTTATTTCTGAGTACCCATTCTACACATGGAATGCTATCTGGCAGTTCACAACATCAATAAAACGTGTTGGAAAAAGTGCGTTGGGGTTTTCGCACTGTCTCCACTCCCTCCCCACCCCCATTGTTTTTTCTTTTGCCTTTTAACTATTGGGTGGGTGAAACTCTGTTTTAAAATTGCTGAGAACACTGAGCAGACCTATTCACTCATATACCACCTCTAATCTCGCCGGATGTTAGTGGAACATTTTGCCTCGCTTTCGTGTGTTCAACAACAGAGATGACCATTGCAACGCTGGCTAAACCATGTACTTTACCAGTTACTCGACGCAGCGAGTGTCACGATTCTTTCGTCTTAAGGAGACGATGCGCTTGTTAACACATTATCTGACATCGGACCATAACAAGCCAGTTTTGATTTGGAAATAGTACGGTAAATAAATGTAGTTTTAATCGTTTCAAACTGAGCAGATACATGGACAATATGAACAAGGAAGGCGCTATCGCTGTTTAAATTATTCTTTTCGATTGGTTTCATGCTGATATAAACTAAGGGAATTTAAGTACAATATATGTTTACCTTGGCGCTTCTTGACACTTATTAGTATTTCTGCAAGACCTTTTGGATTTTTCAAGTATTTTCCCCTTATTTTACTGCTCTGTCGACTCCACGAGGAGTTTCAGACCGCTACCTTTATGGGTGCGAAAACCCTCTTAGGAAAAATTAGTTATTTCTGTTAGGAGAGGATACCCCTATCCCTTAATCCTCTCTTGATTCTCCTGATTTGATGCCTGCAGAGAAAAAATTTGTTTGCACGTCAGTTCAAACTCATTATTTCACCTAGAGTATTTTATCTCCTTTTGATACTAATTGCTTGCTTTGAAGGATAAACAAGAATTGGTGTGTTTTATAGATATATACAGATCATCTAATAACCAACTTGCAAAGACCCGGCCACGACAAACGCCTTCACAAGGGTCTACATTATGCCAAATGGATTCTGTTTGCAAATAAATTCCCTACTTTAATTTAGTGATCGAGAAGTATATGGCGCCTGTTACAGCACCTAATGACCTTCGCGGGACTTAACCTTTTTGCAGGAATCACTAGTACATAAACTAAAATGGATTATAGTTTATGTAAATTATAATAATGGATTTGCACCAGAAAGAAGACGATCTATAAATCAAAAATTTGCGTCGGATTGCACTCTAAGCCAGACTTGTTCATTATTCCGTGGGATGCCTGTGGCAATCCCACGGTAAAAATCCGGTTCGATTGTACCCAAAATTGCAAAGCCACCCAATAGGATTGCGTAAAATCTTTATCGATTATATCTTCTTGCAAGCCGACCAATCAGATTGTACAAAATCTGTATCGATTTTTAATCGATTTGCTTCCTCTGAAGAACGTTGCGTTCCTTGCCAAATTTGTCGCGCTTGAGTTTTCCCACTCGTGGTTTAGGATGGCTTGTTAACCAGTCAAATTATTTCTTTCCTTCATGATTCTTTTTTGTTTAGGTCTAGCTTTTTCATAACGTTTTAGTAGCTCTGGTTGCGGGCCGTGATTTCCGAGAGTTTTTTCTATTCGGAGTTAGCCAGTTTTTGCCGAGCACAGCTAGAGTTCAGTTTTTTTCTTTTCTTATCGAAGACACCTTGACGATGGGAGGTTAAATCGCGTAAATTTCAACTCGTACCCTTGACGATTGGCGTTGAAATAGCGTAAATATTGTCCTCGTCGATCGACGACTCGCTTTCGGCATGGATTGGACTTCTGGATGGGACACGGATCAGGACATGAGTAAACTTATTATACCTTGGAATCAGGGATAATCACTGGAACTATGTTAACTTTGAGACCTTGGAAACACATGGCAATTAATTTTTAACCGTATCAAGAGCATCTTGGAATATTAAACTTTCATCTTGGATTAAAACATTGGAACTTTATCGAACTTTGTAACCCTGGGTTCGACCCTGTATAAAGCAAGCGGATGTTTTGTTTTGTTTTGTTCCATTAACCTAGATAGAACGTCATTATGCTTCCATAGACCAACGCATTCGCCCCTTGTAAAGGAATCCGGATTCCGGAATCCGGGAAATTTTTGCATTTGGAATCCGGAATCTTGGAAATTTTGCTTGTGGAATCCGGAATCCTGGGCCTTGGAATGCGGAATACAGGTGTAGGAATCCGGAATCCCACTAACAATTCGAATCCGGAATCCAAGTTCCACTGAAAAAGATCTGGAATCCAGTGAATGGAATCCGGAAGAGTGTCTTGGATTCCCTTACATGGGGCGAAACGCATCCCACGGAAACGACTTTAGGCGTCTTGTTTATACTTATAATATACAGTAATACTTGACAACGCGAAATTTCCCATATCTATGTGCCATACAACTGGCACCCTCCCCCCGACAAAGGAAAAACAGAGACAGCGAACAAGACAATGGCGACAAATGTACTTGGAAACAGTGTGTACACGGCGAAATCCATGTTCGCCGGAGCGACTTGCACGTCGAAGGCAGTCTTCTTGTTGCTTGTCACTAAAAAATCGCTCGCCGGTAAGCTTTCGCAATCTCTTTAAGACACAGTATATACTTGAATTCATTCATTGAATTGCAAATAAGCAAGAAAGAATATCCAACACACAGCAATAGACTATTATCCTTTGTACAGTTTGTTTACTGAAACAGGCCAGCCTCCTTCGCGGAAAGTACAAGAATCTGCATAAATTGCATGAATTAGAAGTGACGTGACATAACACGATTCATGCCAGCCGTTCGTAGAAGCTCCATCTCTCCGCTTTTCCTTTGTCGGAGGGAGGGTGGGGCTACACGTAGGCTACCATACAACTGGCTGGCCAAACTTCGTAATGTGTCAATTTTTGTTGCTGTTGTTGTTGTTTCTTTTTTTTAGATGCCTGATTTTTAAATAATTTTTGGCGTTCATTATAAATTTATAAATATACATACATATCACCAAAATATATCAAATAATGATTTACACAAAACGCAACGAATGGTTGTTCCTCGTTTATAAATAAACTTTTTATAATTTTCAACTTATGAATAATGTAAAAGCGGTGTGAATTTAGTATACATATAATACAGTATTCATATAGCCGATCGCGATGATCGCTGCAACACGCATTTGATGACATGCATATGCGAATTTACTCATTATAAGTAATAAAATAATTATAAAAATTATTATCATTATTATTATTATTGTTATTATTTATTGTAATTTATAATGTAAATGGGGCAAAATTTATTGCTTCGGATAAGAGACTGAATCAGCGGGACCAATAACTAGTGACAAAGTTTTCATTATAAAACCTTGATCCTGCAGTAACTCGCATTATATCTTAACCTATACCCATGATTAACTGTATATAAGTACACGGGGCAACAACACTGGACGTGAAGCAACGATTTAATCGGCTCCTGTTTTTGATAACGAATCTTTTTTCAATCCGCGCAGCAGAGGAGGTTCTATTTAGTTAACGTTAACTTTCTACTTTTCGTGATAAGCACTTGATACGAAGCCATTTCAAAACTGAGCGCGGCAATAATTAAAAGTATCACTTTAAAAAACGTTATCACCAGGTACAATTATGGTGTTCATTAGTTAGACCAGGAAGGGAGCCTGGTCGCGCTGGACCTTTCATAGTACGAAAAAGGAATAACTAGATCGTAATAATTCCACGTTTGACAAACCGAAATGCCACGCACTTGAAACTGAAAAATAAGCAAGAGTTATATGAGCCAGAGGTTAAAAGTCACAAGCCACATGAAGCTTTAAGCTCGCTTATTATTTTGACATTATTCGAAGAACTCTTTGTGGGCTCTTTGTTCACCAGTTCATCGACCGTTGATTGAACAGCATGCGCATGGACGCATTAACATCATCTAGTATCTCTGTGCTCTTCCAAAAACATCGTAATTAGGCCTTGATGTATTGTTCCATGTGTGTCCAGGAGTTTTTCCAGCGAGTTGTATTTAACTGTCCATGCGAAGGATACTTCGAGTATGGACTACTATGCACCGAGGGAGCCTATCAGCTTTCTCCCATTTGGACACATGCAAGTGATCTCCACCCCCAAACCTGGGTAGGGGGCGTCTTACAGAGTGACTTGGCAAGTTTATCGCTCTAATTAGCACCTTCAGAAGCCTATTTAAGGCTTCTGACACCTTTGACGATTTCCAAGTTTTGACGAAGATGGTTAACAGTCATCGAAACTGTCGGCATCATTAAGACTGTAAGACTTTGTCTATGTTTTGAGAACATTTCAAGAGATATTTTCACATTTATTCAAAAAAACAAAAAGAGACCAAACCGGTTGTAATAAAATACATATTAAGTGGCCTTCACGGCTCGAGGACCACACGGGAAAGAAGAAACAATCAACTTATGTGATATTTGCCGATTTTTGTCTCAATGTTTTTATATGTTCGTAGACTTCAGAAACAATTTTTTTTTCACATACAAATCTTTATTAGTCGAGCTTGCTTTAACTGCGAGACTCTAGAGACTCTACACTCTTTTTTTTATTTTTCAATTCCTCGGCAAATGGTAGTCATGGTCCCAGGCATTCCTAGCGGACACCGTGGAAACTGGGGCTAAGAATCATGACGACGTTCATTGTATGCAAACGAGTCTCGTGATGAGTATGCGGTTTATTTTCGGCGATGACTAAAATGACGTACTAAGTTGATCACGTTTTGGCTGTTTGGCAATGAATAGATGTAATTTTCCCCGAATCGA